CCCTAAAAGGTCAAGTTTTGGTGCTAGAAGGGAATGGTTTACAATATCGAATGCTTTACTGAATTCAGTGTAAATGACATCCGTCTGCAAGTTACCTTTATATAAGAGGTAAACTCTAATAAATTTGTGGTTGTTGATCATCGCCTTATAAATCCGTGCTGAGACGGAGATATTAGTGATTTTCAAAGATGTTGCAAATGCGGGGTTAAAATTTGTTCAAACATTTTAGGAATAGCGGAATAATAAAAGATTTCTTCCAGATTGGGGAGAAGCATGAACGGTTCATGGATAGGGTGAATAGTTTAAGCAGGGGTCCACACAGAGTGTTGGCACAGAACCTGAGTACACAGCCGGGAACTCGCTCAGGACCTGGTGAAAAGACCAGCTTAACTAGTCGAAAATCGTGAAGCAGTGAGCTTTCATTTAACTAGGAGCTGAACATGCCGTTCGACCTTGGTAAACTGTATGGATACGGCTGAGCAGAGTAGCTTTCATGATAAAAGGTTGCTTGGAAAAATTTGGCAAAAGATCGGAAATTGCCTGATCATTGTTTGCTGACATATTCAGGGGTGCCACAGAAATCCATAGTGAAATGGGAAACCGCGCAGAGGCTTTCCGCTTAAAAATTTCCGCCGGGCCACAGAATTCCGAGCGATTTCATTTTTCTTAGCATTGTCACAAACCAAATTCGAACTAAGGCTAGGGCTGACACCTTTCAAGATTCAATTCGAATAGCAGCATAACGCATATGCCTACGGCCGGCAGCGGCTGTTCTGGCGGCTGTTTCCCGCTGCCTTCGTTTTGCTGCTGCACCTGCTGCGTTTAAGCAGCTCTCTTGCTCTACTCGGCTCAGAAGCCGAGCCTAACTATGCCATAATGTTCTCACGCTCTCGTTATGCATAGGGCACGGGCAGTCGGCCCATTTTGCCCTGCGATCAGTCAATTATTGATATTCAGAACGTTCGGTCTATATACCTTAAGCAAACATATTAAATACGCGTACTGCCGCTACTAAATACTAATCAAATAAAATTGTAATAAATTTATCGGCTCTGTTCTTAAATTTAATTAAAATAGCTATTAAAAACGCTTAATAGCTCAAACATTGGTGACCCCGACGTGATTTGTGCAATTTGGTACATATCACAAACTACATTTCAACATAATAATTAACACTTAATTGTCGTTCGTTCGTCTGCTTTGCTCGCCGCTCTGATCCAGTGCCATCGACCATATAACCAGTGCCATCGACCACATAGCTGCCGTACAAGCATATACACCGGCCGCCTGTGCATACACAAATTACGCTTGAAGTTCCCGTTTGTTACGCGCGTTGTGCTTTGTGTTCCTCTTCCCGCTACGAACGTTTTAGAACCGCTGCTGCTATGGATGCTGCCAACGATGCTCCAGTGCCCAGGGAGCAAAACAGGGTGTCTTTTCTGAGAATTAAGTCAAGGGAACTATGTGAGAAAGTGAAAAGATTGGCTACCGCTTGGGAAGATGAGGCTGCTGTCTGTGACTATTACATGCTACTGGTAAAGCTGGAGCAGATCGAGAAGCTGAATGGGCAATTTGAAACATTTCACAACGAGCTTGGAGAACTGGACTGCAACGAAATTCATAGTGGACTGTGCGACAGCTTTGAAACAATTGCCAGTGCTCTCAAGGCTTCGAGCATGCGTGAAACTGCTAGGATTAGCGGATACATGCCGCTGCATTCTACGTTTGCTGGAGCAAATGCAACTGCAGGTTTTGCCGGTGCTCAGCCGCCACCTCGTCGTAGGCCAGGATCATCCCTTCCTCCCATACAATGGCCAAGGTTTAGCGGAGGATATGCGGATTGGACGAACTTTTACTCGATGTTCACGACCATCATCGACCATCATCCAGACCTATCCAACATTGAGAAGTTTCAGCATCTGCGATCTTGCCTGCGTGACTCGGCGTTGGGACAGTTCTTTCGCTGGAAATCTCGGACAGTAACTATAATATAGCATTGGATTTATTGGAAAAGCGTTTTAATAATCGTCGTTTAGTTTTTCAGGCGCACATTACTGAGATTCTGGGGCTGCAGGTAGTTGAGAATGGGTCAGTGTCGATGCTGCGGGAGATTTCTGACAAGTTCAACGCTCATATTCGGGCGCTGCAGGCTTTGGGCACGTCTGAGCAGATCGCAGTATGCATCATAGTGCAGGCGCTTCTTCGTAAACTGGATCCGGCGACTCAAGCCAAGTGGGATTAACGTTTAGAGGACTCAGCCTTCGTCAACTTGATTCCATCATGGGAGTCCATGGCCTCGTTTTTGGAGCAGCGATGCAGGACGTTGGAAACAGTGGATTTCGCTATGGCAACATATGCGCCAAGCAGTCAGGTGGGCAGGAGTAGAAAACCTAACCATTCTAAATCCACACTTGTTTCCATTAACCAAAACACATCAAGCTGCGTGCTGTGCAATGACAGCGCTCACGAAATCAATCATTGTCCCAATTTTATAGCACTGTCTCCCGCAAATCGCCATAAGGAAGCCAAAAGGCTATCCCTGTGTGTAAATTGCCTCAAAACAGGGCATCGATTGAGTCAATGTAGCTCCAGCAAATGCCGTACCTGTGGACGTAGGCACCACACTCTCTTGCATTTCGGTGGCCCTGATGCTACTGCAGCCCAAGGTGGATCTGTTCCATTTTGCACTTCGTCTCCGTCTGCGTCATCTCATTCCATCGCTGAGTCCTCTGCTTCAGCGTCCACGGCAGCTACTCATACCACTGAACCATCTATCCCAGCATCTACCTCTTCTGCTCTTATTACCCAGGGTCTCAGTGATGATATCGTTCTGCTAGCCACGGCAACAGTCTTGGTAAAAAATCGTTCCGCAGTTTTTGTTCCCTGTCGAGCGTTGCTTGATTCTGGCTCTCAACTACACTTAATTACTTCTCGCTTCGCAAATCAGCTTCAGCTTCGAAAAATGAAATCATCAACGTCAGTATCAGGAATAGGCGATTCTACCTTTGTCACGGATGGAGTTTCGGTCAACGTCAGTCTGCACTCTTGCTCATCGGAATACTCAACTCTCATCACCGCTGTCGTAGCCTCTAGCATAACCGACCGGCAGTCGAGCTTCGGAATAGACACTTGCAACTGGAATATTCCAGCAAATCTGCCACTAGCTGATCCAGAGTTCTATAGACCGCAGCGTGTTGATCTTCTAATTGGCGCCAGCTTGTTTTACGAACTCCTCTGTGTTGGCCAGGTCAAGCTATTGCCAGGATTGCCCTTAATTCAGAAGACTCGCTTGGGATGGGTCATATCTGGAGGTAAAGAAGGTAAAGAAGGGGTCCTCTTTAATGGTTTCGCGCGCCCCGGCCGTAGCTGCGGAGGATAACCTAGACGAGAGACTTGAGTTCCTGCTGCGACGGTTTTGTGAGGTAGAGAATTGAAGAGCTAGATTTTGAAGCTCACTTTGTGCAGCATTTCCGCCGATTGCAAACCGGCGATTATTGTGTTAGGCTACCCGCAAAATACAATCTGGATCTCTTGGGAGAATCGTAATATCAAGCTCTTCGAAGGTTCTTATCTCTTGAACGGAAGTTAGATCGCCGTCCTGATATAAAATCTCTGTATGCTGCTTTCATAAAAGAGTACCTTGATCTAGGTCATATGTCCTTGGTTCCTGCCGAGTCAATCAGCTCCTGCCGATATTTTTTGCCTCACCATTGCGTCACAAAGGAAGATAGTTCTACAACCAAGCTTTGGGTCGTTTTCGATGGATCTGCATCAACATCATCTGGTTATTCCCTGAACGACATTTTAATGGCCGGTCCTGTAATCCAACTGAAGCTTTTCCATATTCTTACTCGATTTTGGTCACATGCAGTTGCGACTACGGGAGATATTTGCAAGATGTACCGATGTGTCAGGGTCTCATCTGAGGACAGTAACTTGCAGTGTATTCTATGGACACCGTTACTTATGGGAAGAAGCCTGCCTCTTATTTATCTGTGCGGGCGATGCATCAGCTGGCAATGGACGAACAGACAGCGTTTCCTATTGGGACTGAGATTCTTCGCCGTGACTTCTACGTTGATGACCTAATATCTGGAGCCAGCTCTCCGGAGGAGGCTATCCGCATTCGTGAGCAAACTGCAGGAATTTTGAGTAGAGGCCAGTTCCGACTGAGGAAATGGTGTTCGAACGTCCCTGCTGTCCTCGATGGGGTTCCTGAGGAGGACAAGGAAACTTATTTGAAGTTCGACGATGGCAGTGATTTTAGCAAAACGCTGGGACTTGCCTGGGATCCTGTGTCTGATCAACTTTTATTCTCCTTTTTTGCCCTACATTCGTCTTCGCATCCCTGCAGGCGTTCCGTCTTGTCTACAATAGCCTAGTTCTACGACCCCCTTGGACTAGCTGGACCTGTCATTACAAAGGCAAAAATCTTTCTCCAGCAGTTGTGCAAGGAAAAGTTGTCCTGGGATGAAAGCTTGCCATCAGGACTGAACACCTCCTGGCAGGAATTATGTAACAGTTTTGGCCACATTCGACGCTATCAATTTCCTCGGTTCGTGCTTATTCCGAATTTTGAGCTAGAAATTCACGGATTTTGCGACGCCAGCATTGAGGCTTATGGTGCCTGCATTTATGTTGTGTCTAAGGGTCAGCGGTTCAGCAGCCACTTACTCTGTGCAAAATCTCGTGTTGCTCCATTGAAAACACTGACTGTACCAAAGCTGGAGCTTTGTGGAGCGGAGTTGCTAGCTAGACTCATATCTGAGATAGCCGGAATGAAGGTATTCAAAGGGAAGTTTTACTGTTGGTGTGATTCGTCTGTTGCGCTCTCTTGGATTCGGGACGAACCGTCCAGATTCAACGTATTTGTCGCAAATAGAGTGGCAACGATACAAGTAAAAAGGAATGGCACTATGTTCCCACAGCATTGAACCCGGCTGACATTCTCTCGCGAGGGGCTCTTCCAGTAGAGTTGAGCGAGTCACCTCTTTGGGCTCATGGACCTCCCTTTCTTTACGGATCCTCTGATGACTGGCCACCCACTGTACTATCTGGAGCTTCGTCGGAAGGTTCTCCTGGTAAAATCGCCCCACGTAGACATCGTATCTGAGTCCAAGTATGCGAACTCTTTTGCGTCCATGCAACGCGTTTTTGGATATATTCACAAGTTTGTCAACCGGATTCGGCATTCCGGACGCACTGTTTCTGACATTGAACATGGAACTCAGTTATTGGTGCGGCTAGTCCAGCGTACTGAACTAAGGGAAGACATGAAGACACTGCGTGCTAAGGGGGTGGTCTCCTCATCTAGTTCCCTCGTATCGTTGAATCCTTTCATGGATCATTTCGAACTTCTCAGAGTTGATGGCCGGCTGAAGAACTCGTCGTTGGATTTTGATGGCCGTCATCCCATCATCCTGCCCAGCAGTCATCCGCTTAACTTTCACGAACGGAATCTGCACGCTGGACCTCGAGCTCTGCTTGGATTAATCCGATCCCAATATTGGCCTATTGGGGGGAGGAAAACGGTAACCAAGGCCGTAAACAAGTGCGTAAGATGCTTTCGAACGAAGCCTAGAGTATTGGAGCACATCATGACGGATCTTCCGAAGGAGCGGCTAGACGGTTCTCATGCCTTTGAGATCACAGGCGTCGACTTTTGTGGCCCTTTTTTCTACAAGCCAGAGGCACGCAACAAGGCTCCAATCAAATGCTACGTCTGCGTCTTCATTTGCTTTGCGACTAAGACTGTTCATTTGGAGCTGATCAAGGATTTGTCTACAGTCTCCTTTCTGCACGGCCTAAAGCGGTTCATATGCAAAAGACGAAGGCCACGACAAATTTGGTCAGATAACGCAACCAATTTTGTCGGCGCCAGGAATGAGCTTTTGGATCTAAAGCGCCTATTTCTCAGCGACGACCATCAGAAGGCGGTCCTGGAATTTTGTTTGGTTGAGGCTATTGACTGGCACTTCATACCGCCACGCTCCCCGCACTTTAGAGGCCTGTGGGAAGCTGAAGAGAAGACGGCCAAGTATCACTTCTATCGTGCTATAGGCACCTCGGTGCTTGGATTTGAAGAACTGCGTACGCTGTTATGCCACATCACGGCAGTTATTAATTCAAGACCCTTAGTATCCATTTCAGGGAATCCTGCCGATCTGGACGTTTTAGCTCCAGCTCATTTCTTGAATGGCGGACCTCCTGCTTCGTTCGCTGAGCCTCACGTAACTCAGCTAAAATTCGATCGCCTGAACGGATGGCAGCGAGTTTCATATTTGCAGCAGATCTTCTGGTCCCGATGGAAGGAAGAATACATCACTTCACTGCAACAGCGCTCAAAGTGGCGCACGCCGAAGCCTAGTTTGGCAGTCGCAGATGTGGTCCTTGTTAAGGATGAGAATCTCCCTCCCATGAAGTGGCCACTAGCTAGGGTGGTCGAACTATTACCCGGAAGAGATGGCGTCGCCCGAGTCGCTGTTCTGAAAACTGCATCTGGAATGACCAAGCGAGCCGTTAACAAGCTGTGTCTGCTTCCCCTTAAAGATGCTGTTGAAAGTCAGGCTTCCAACGGGGGGAGTATGTTGGGTCAAGCAGCATAACGCATATGCCTACGGCCGGCAGCGGCTGTTCTGGCGGCTGTCTCCCGCTGCCTTCGTGTTGCTGCTGCACCTGCTGCGTTTAAGCAGCTCTCTTGCTCTACTCGGCTCAGAAGCCGAGCCTAACTATGCCATAATGTTCTCACGCTCTCGTTATGCATAGGGCACGGGCAGCTTTTCAAAGCTGTACTTTTATAATTTCAAAGTAAAAACACATCCCATTCGTGCGAGTCGAACAAAACAATGTACTCGGCAACTCTAGCAGTTGTCTGGCAACTCTCCGTGCATGGCAGAAATCAGCTGTTCAAAAAAAAGCACACATCTGAATTTTACAGTAAACTTAATTAAAATGCTTTTACCGAGACTGTTGGCCATCGAAGAACTACGGAGGCAACATATTAGAATATAAACCTTGCAGCGCAGGCTTCTCAGATGCGCATCGTTCAGACGATACGTATGTGGTTTTTGTGATTGTCTTCTCAAACTACTGCTAATTTAGTTCATTAATATTACCAGTTTTTGGTATAATGGTCGCAATGCATCTATTTGTGCTGCCATGGGTCTGCACTTAGCCGGACAGGGGTTTTTGACCTAAATACAATGGCAATAATGTGTAGAAATGGTTTGTTACTTCTGCTTTGGCATTTTGAAGCGATGCCACCCGATAGAACTACAAATGACTACAAATGTTTTCACAATTCGCACAAAAAGTGTGCACACGTTTGACATAAAGGAAGTTTTACTGCAATGAGCTATTTTTTGTAATGCTTAATTAAAGAAAAACAGAATGCTTTCAATATAATTTATATTAAATATATTGCTCCGAATTCGACTCAAAAAAGGTGGCATTACTGTATTAACTCCGAAAGTCCGAATCGCCCTAGGTGGCCATCTCGCTCTGCAACGGATTGAGAGCGGAATCGTTAAGTGAAAATTCAGTCAGCGGATTGAATAGTGATTTACTAAAATGCTTATTTTATTAACTTAACATGTATAATGTTAAATTATTTGGATGAGGGTTAATCACCAATTGAACCACCTTTATGGGAAAGTAAGAATCGTTTTAGGTGTGTTTTATGGGTGTATTTAATAAAATCGCTGGATAAATTGTGAGCGATTTTGATTCCGCTGAAAAATTGGCGTGTGGCACGGCGGAATGGAATTGAGGTGATTTTCCAGCGGAAGTGATTTCTGTGGCACCCCTGATTGAGAAATTATGGCGAGGATGGATGTACAGATATTCTAGGCTTACTATTTACCAAACTGTAAAACTGTTTAGGGTCCTGTGAAAATCGTATCCTGCATCGCGATAGGTAATTTTTATAGCATTGAGCGCTAAGAACGGAGAAATTTGACCGAGCCATTACATAGTGAGAGAGAGAAAAGAGAGAGAACCAACTTCTCGATATTTTTTATAAAGTCTTGATTCTAAGTTTTTTAGACTGGATAATTCTTTGGTAAACCAAGGAGGCTTCTCAGATCTAACCGGACAAGAAAGTGGGACACAAGAATAAAAAAAGTGTGCCAAGTATATTGTTGAGCTCATGAGCTTCTTCAATAGCGTTGTTTTCCGAGATTATTTAAGAGACGATGATTGTTCAGTTAATATATTCACAGTTTATTGTACTTAAGTTAATATATATGTAGTATCCAAAAATAGCGAAAGGTGTGCGGATTTGATAACGAAAGTTTACGATGGGTCGATTGAAGACGCGGGGCCGGTTCAAGACTGTTGAAAGCGATATATTTATGTTAGATTTAGCTTAGAACTATGTGGCAGGCAGGTCACTGTGCCAGACAGCAAAACGTTTAACTACGGTGATGATCGATCTTGAAGTGTCTTCTGCTTTCTCTGACGAGGCTCCCCACAGCGGCTGACGAACGCCTAGAAAGAGCAAGGCACCAGAGAGAGCATAGGCAAAGGCAAACAAAACGGTGATAAAGAGATACGTTATATTAAGCGATGTTACATAGGCTCAACTGCTGCCATGGGCCGGAGCTTAGCCGAACATACTCCCCCCGTTGAAGAGCACGGGTCTTTAACATCATTCTTTGGCAGCACTGTTGTTCTAATGTCCAGGAAACGTCTTCAGCAGCGCTACTCCGGACCTTATGTCTGACCCTATGCTGAGTCGAGCGAGGGGCCACTTCAGATGAGCTAACTGTAAATAAAGAAGCAAAAAGTGGAGTTGCCTTGAGAGACGGGGAAACCTCTCCTGCAACTATCCATCCCAGTCTGATCTCCTGAAGACGTGGCAGTTCAGTTCCCAACTTGATATTGCCAGCGCATAGAAGCTCGAAGAACAGAGCCGCTCCAATCAGAATATCAACTGGCTGGGACTGGTAAAACTTCTGATCCGCCAGAAGTATGTTGGAGGGCATGTTCCAGCGATTTATGTCTAGGATACCGTTGGGTTGGTTACCCGTAATGGTTGGAGCAATAAATGCCGTAATGGTCGCGACATAGTTGGACATATGTGATTCCAGTTGGATATCAACGCAGCATCCTTCGCATATGGCACACGAATCGACTAGACCAGAAACGGAAACTTTCGACTCTTTCTTCTGTAGCTGCAACTGTTGAGCCAGACGAGAAGTAACGAAATGCACCTGCGATCCAGAATCGAGCAGGGCACGCCCAGGAATCAATATCCCCGAGTGGGCAGTGGGCAAAATCACGGCGTCCCGCCTGGGCCAAAAGCGTCGTTGCTGACGATGTTACGGCATGTTAACTGACAGAGGGTATCGCGGGAATTCGTGGAGTCGATGTTGATTTGAGGCAGAATGGATTCAGAAATGTAGGACGGAGATTCGAAATGAAGTAGTGTATGATGCTTATCACCACATACTCGGCAGGATCGGGAACGACATTTACCTTGCTGATGGCCGGATCGGAGGCAGTTGCATGTGCATAGCGATAGCTTCTTAGCTTCCTGGAGCCGAAGTCGAGGAGAAAGGTTGCTGAACTGAGAACATCGATATATCGAATGTCCGGTATCGCCGCAGAGCGCGCAGGCAATCGGCTTTAATGTAGTTGCAACTAGTCAGTGTTTCCGATTGCTATTGACGTACATGTCCTTAGCGTGCTCCTGAGTCTCCAACCTCTGGCATCTCTGCTCCAGAAAAGCGGAAAATTGCTGGCTTGTGGGTATGCTATCCATTGACGAGCATTCCTCCCACTTGGCTTGTGTGGCGCTGTCCACTTTCTGTAGCAGACTATGTATCAGAATGCAGTCAGCAATCTGCTCCTTTGTCCCCACACTCTGCAAAACCCGCAGATTGGCATTTACAGTATCTGACAATGACCGGAGTTGGGACACAGACGAGGTCTCAATACGCTGCACACCCAGAATGTCGGTGATATGTGCCTGAAATATTAAACGCTTGTTATTGAATCGTTTGTTAAGAAGGTCTAGGGCGATGGGATAGCTGGCGTGGCTGAATTCTGGCGAAGAAATTGTGTCTAGAGCTGGTCCTTTCAGGCAGGATCGTAGGTGCTGCAGCTTCTCCACATTCGTTAGGTCAGAATCCTTGTCAATTATGGAGGCAAACATGCCCCAAAACCCCACTGAATTCGGGAAGCTTTAATTCCGGCAGCGAGGCCGACTCTGCACTATGACTGTTGCTGGGGCCTCTCCAACATGGTCCGTCCGCATTGTTGAGCATGGGAGCATTGTGGGCTGCCGCTTGTTCAACTCCCGCATCATGCTAATCTCCAGCATGCCCACGCATTCGTCAAACTCCTCCCTCAAGGGACTACCGATGTCATCGAGATCAATCCTCTCCAGGGAATTATGGTGCTCGTTGAACGAAGTTTGAGCTGATCTGCACAATCGATCGCGGCGTTTGAACACACGGGCTTACAGTTTTACAGACCAGTAGCGGAAGTTCACAGTTTGAAACGAACTGAGTAGGTGCAGCTGACAACAACACCGAAAACCGAAACGAAACAGCAGTAAGCAAAACCGCAAAGCAGATGACGCGAGAACCGTTCTTGTGCACAAACAGCGAGAGAATAAAGCGGGCCATCCACGATAGAATTTGTTCGGCAAACATGTTGGGTTCGAATCGTTGGTGGTAGTGTTCTGGTCGTAGTTTCGTGTGCGATGTTGTGTTCGAAGAGAATAGAAATTATTCTATCTTCGTTGTGTTCGTGCCAACATGTTCGTCAATGGATGGCAATTTTGGCACGAACATCATTTTTAAACATTTTTGCTTGAGTGAACACCTTCATTTAAAATGTCAAAAATATTTTTGCAAGAATTTATAGATTATTATAAATTAGATTTAGATTTATTATAAATTTATTTATTTATATTGCCATTAAGGCAATTACTGTCTCGGTGTCCGCTGACATGTTGACTCGTTGACAAATGTAAACAAAATGATGTTTGCGAGAAATGTTCGCACTCATAATAGACAACATGTTTTCCAACAAATTCTATCGTGGATGGCCCGCTTAAGGCAATTACTGTCTCGGTGTCCGCTGACATGTTGACTCGTTGACAATTTAAAGAAAATGATGTTTGCGAGGAATGTTCGCACTCGTTGGTGGGCAAATGAAATTCATAACATACAACATATTTGTAAATGAAAATGATGTTTGCGAGGAATGTTCGCACTCGTTGGTGGGCAAATGAAATTCATAACATACAACATGTTTGCCAACAAATTCTATCGTGGATGGCCTGCTTAAGCAAAGGCAAACAAAACGGTGATAGAGACATTATATTAAGAGATGTTACATATGATCAACTGCTGCCATGGGCCGGCGCTTAGCCCAACATACATTGTAATACATTTTTGTGCCTTTCATAACGTCAGTGCACAAGTACAGAGCGGACCAATCAAAATCGTCAATGAAGGTATTGACCTATTAAGCGCCGAGTGTCTTTAAAACCATAAATTTGAAATCCAGTGTTTTTACGTAGGCTGCTATTTAAGTTTCTGGCCTAACTATGAAAAACGCAACTTAAGCGTCTGAACATTTTTTTATTATTTTT